CATACATGCACACTTTTTTTTAGTTCTAAATTTCTCTGTAGTTAATTGTTCAAAGACATCAGTTTATAAATCAACACATACATCATGTCAGTTCAAACTTCCAATGCATCTTCTACTATTGTTGTTTGCCTCTCTCGGTCCAAGAAATCAGTAGATTACTGATTGATTAGTGGCCAAGGCGACGAGCAGTACCTGTGTTTCTCGGCTTTGGAGGGGCAGCAAGTGTTCGGAGACAAGGCCAGCGCCCAGCGACCAGGTGGAGGACGGGAATCACTACTGCTAGTGCAAGCACGGATCAGCTAGTAGGTGGAGCGGCCGCCTGCGGCGATCTGCAGCAGACCAGCACTGGTTGATTCATTGCACGGGGGCATGGGAGATCGCGCAAGAGAGGCGGCGCGCATGCTCGAGCGGGGGTCTGGGAGGGTCACGGCCTAGGGCTCAAGCTATAGCGGGCGCCATGCACAGGTAGTTTACTTCGCGTTTTCCTTTAATTGGGGGCCCCACAATTTTGGGGGGCCTGTGCAGTCGGCCACTTTGGCCCCCCTCATCAACGGGCCTGCCTTCCACCCCTCAACCTACAAGCTAGACCTGGTAGGATCCCATATCCTATCAATTTAGTATCAGGTGTCCCAAGCTCGATCATGTCCGCGCCACCGCTCACCCGCTCCCTTCCACTGCCGATTGCCTCCTCGTCGCCGACGACCGCCGCGGCCAGCACGCCGTCCCTGACCGGGCTGGTCTCCTCTGCCGCCTGGATGCCACCCACGCCCGTCCCCGTCGTGCTTACCCTGGAGGAGATGACGGCGGCGCTCCGGGACCTGACTCAAGGCGGTCCAGGGCATCCGCACCTTCCTCACGGGGCACTATGGGCTGCAGCCGCCCGCTCCCGTCGCCACCATCATGGGGCCGCAGCAGCTCCCGTGGTAGCCGCCACCACATGCGACCTCCATCGCATCCATCATGCCGCTGCCGCAACAGCAGCAACCGCCGCCACCGGCGATCTCGGGGCCGGGCCTTGCGTCGACGGCGCCCAGGGTGCCCATCCACTAGGTCCGTTTCCCCCCGTCGCCATCTCCTCTACCGGCCTGGCTTGCTGGGTCCATCGAGCCGATCTACACGATAGCCTGACGACAGCCGCATGTGCTGTCACCGCCGGTGCCGCCCCCGAACATGCAGTTCGGCGGGTCCTCGGGTGCCGCAGGTCCCTACAATGGTGTGGACGGGCCCCTTTTCCATGGTAGTACTCTGCAGCCTGCACACTCGGCGTTGTCGCCTTCACTGTTCCGCGCGGATGACACATACCCGCCCATCGTCCACGCGCAACCACCGCCGAGATTCTCCAAGCTGGAGTTCGCGACCTACGACTGCACCGTCGACCCCCTGAATTGGCTCAACCAATGCGACCAATTTTTCAGGGGGCCGCGCACTCTCGCGTCCGACCGCACCTGGATCGCCTCCTATCATCTACGAGGCGCCGCCCAGACGTGGTATTACGCCCTCGAGTAGGACAAGGGCGGCATGCCACCATGGGAGCATTTCTGCGATCTCTGCCTCTTGCGCTTTGGTCTGCCTATACACGGGAGCCATCTGGCGAAGCTTGGGCGCCTTCGGTTCCTCACCACAGTGCAAGACTTCGCCGACCGTTTCCAGGCACTAGCGTGCCACGCCCCCGATGTTTCGGCTCATCAGCGGGCTGAGCTCTTCGACGGCGGCCTACCGGACCACATCCGCGTAGACGTGGAGATGCGCGGGCTACAGGACCTCCAGATGGCCATGTACTACGCCCACGCTTTCGAGTGTCGTGAGGTGGCCATCCAGTAGGCGTCACCGCCCCGGGCCGCTGGGCCGCCACCCCGACCGAAAGTTCCCACGCAGGGTCGGCCTGCTCAGGCTTCCGCGGCGCCCCTCGCCGCAACCACGGCGCACCCGTTCCTCCGGCTCACCCCAGCCGAGCAACTCGAGCGTCGCCGCCAAGGGTTTTGCTTCAACTGCGACAAGCCCTACATGCCCGGCCATGTCTGCCCGCAACTCTTCTACCTGGAGGCTGCGGACTACATTGAGGAGGACACCGCCGTCGCCGGGCTCGGCGACCTGCCCGTCCCAGCTGGCGCGGAGGTGTTTGGTGCCCATTGATCACCTCGAGGAGCTACGCAAGCGCTTTTCCGCCTTCCACCTAGAGGACAAGCTGTTTGTGCATGCGAGGAGAAATGTTATGACCGACATATACTACAGTCCAGGCAGTTAGGGGCCTGGCCCAGTTATCTTATTATTATTAGGGGCTTAGCCCAGTTATCGTATTTGAAGATTATATAAACTCATGTAAGGACTCATTTGAAGTTAAGCAGAAGCAATCATATTTGCTCGGCTTCCTGAAGGGAGCCGGGAGACCTAACCCTAGCCGTCGCGTCCTACTCCCTCCCTCTCTCACGCACACGTGACGATGACGCCCCAGCGCCAGCGACCTCGCCTTCCTCCTCGCCAAGCCCCTTTCCACCCCTAAAACATACGAGCTAGACCTGGTAGGATACCATATCCTATCAGAAGTATTATCCATATGAGACACTTATGTTAGCATTAGGGAACAAGGGGTGTTTGTGCCGATGGGGTCAGGATCTTGAATGGGACGTTTCATTTTGGAGGCTCGAGGATATTGAAGGCCAACAGATGCACATAGCAACTCCAACAGGCCGACCCAAACGAACGGCGATTTTGTCCGCTTTTTGCCCGTTTGGGTCGGCCGCCCGCCCAGCGTCCGTCTTGTTTTAGATTTGGGTCGGCAGTGCGCCCAACGCGCCAACCCATATCTGCCGACGTGGCCGGCTGGCCGCCCTATTTCAATAAACAGGATTGGGGATTGTTTTGACAATAGTGGTCCACTGAAGATAGATACCGTCACCAAGGTAGTATCCTTTGTCGTAGTTGTGCCTGTTAACAGTAAAGTTCACCGGTGGGTTGTTGCCTTCGGCAAGCCTAGCGAACACCGGCGACCGCTGAAGCATGTTGATATCATTGTGTGATCTGGCCATGCCAAAGAAAGAGTGTCAGATCCAGAGATCTTGAGACACCACGGCCTCAAGTATGACAGTGCAAGCCCTGACATGGCCCTTATACTGCCCTTGCCAAGCAGAAGGGCAGTTCTTCCACTCACAATGCATGCATTCTATACTACCAAGTATCCCTGGGAAGCCCCTGCTGGCATTCATCGCCAACAAATGGGTTGTATCTTCAGCAGTCGGCTCTCTCTAAGTACTCGGGGCCAAACACAGCAATAACAGCCTTGCAGAACTTATACAGGGACTCTAGGCAAGTAGACTCGCTCATACGGACGTACTCGTCAATGAGATCACCGGGCACTTCGTATGCAAGCATTCGGATGGCGGCATTGTATTTGTGATAAGAGGAAAAACCAATCTTGCCAACGGCATCCTCTTTGCACTCGAAATAGTCATCATAGCCGACCACCCCCTCTCTATTACGGTTGGAAACATGCCTACTCATACGGAAAACGGCGGCGGAATTTCTGATGTTTGAACAACGGGTTTGTTGTATCAAAGTAGTCCTTCCAAAGAAGGAAATGTCTGCTCTCTCGGTTGCGATTCAACGCCGGAAGGTGGCCCGGAATGGAGCCACGGAACAATGCCCGTTGGTTGTTGAGGTGGTGATGGACCAACACGGCAGCCAATATCTCCTCCTCGTCATCGGAGGACGAATCGTCGGAGTCGCAAAGGAAATTTTGAAAAAAGAACTCGTCGGCGGAGTCCATTTTGTACCTTGGCAAACTATCGAACAAATGGCGGCAGTACATTTCTGATAAGAGGAGAAACTAATCTTTCCAACGGCATCCTCTTTGCACTCGAAGTAGTCATCGTAGCTGACCACCCCCTCTCTAATACGGTTGAAAAAATGCCTACTCATATGGAAACAACGACGGAATTTCTGATGTTTGAACAACGGATTTGTTGTATCAAAGTAATCCTTCCAAAGAAGGAAATGCCCGCTCTCCCGGTTGCGATACAACGCCGGAAGGTGGCCCGGAATGGAGCCACGGAACAACGGCCGCTGGCTATTGAGGTGGTGATGGACCAACACGGCAGCCAATATCTCCTCCTCGTCATCGGACGACGAATCGTCAGAGTCGCAAAGGAAATTGTGAAAAAGAAAACTCGTGGGCGGAATCCATTTTGTACCTTGGCAAACTATCGAACAGTTTGCGGGCATCGCGAAGAAGACGACCGGCGAAGGGAGTCGCGGTGCGCACGGACCAGCTAGTTGCCCTGCCGGCGTCCGACGAGCGTGCCGATGAGGGTCTGGCCGGGGACGGCGAGGCGGATGCTTGGTCGTGGGGGTGTCGGGGTGGGAAGCAGTCGGTTCCCAGCGGCAAGACGACAGTGGCAACGTCGAAGGTGGTAACGTTGCTCAGAGGATGTTGCGGGAGCCGACAGCTGGCAGAGTCACCGAAAAATGGGCGGCGGCGGCGACGAAGGAGGCGGGCATGGTTGTTGGATGTGGAAAGGCCAATGTGCCACCGACAAGCGGGCCCAGAGGGAGAAGGCGAGCACATGCGCGTCCGTCTCGTGTCCGCGCCGACGCAAATCCGGCTCAAAAATGAGCCGGAAATGGGTCATCCGCGGACGAAAAGCGGACACACGTCCGTTTGGGTCGGCGCATTGGGCTGACTTTTGTGTCCACGCCGACCCAAACGGACGCCAGCGGACGAAATGTGTCGCCCCGTTGGAGTTGCACTCATAGCGCATTTTTGACAAAGAGGGGGAATGACGAGATAGTCGAGGTGCCAACCCATAGTGGAGCTAGCGGGAGTAATGGCGATGCACAGGTGCTCACAGGGAGAAAGGAAAGGAACCTCTTCCAGAGTAGAAGCGGAATTTACAATCATCCAAGATAATCAGTACAATTATTGGTTGCATTTAATACTGGCCATGATATGTGCATGATTCGACAAGGTTTTGTTGGGTTTTGTACACACAAATTAACACCTGCGATCAGGCCATGTGTGTTTCCCCGTAGAAGTCGATGGATCCTATTTGAAACCTTGGATTGGCACTAGATTCTCTCCCACGTAGAAACCGAAATCTGGCAAAGGCAAGCAAAGCTTAGCTTATTTTTAGTCGCAAGAATAATATGCGTAGAATGCAGCATGACTATATCAGCCGATAATAAACCATAAAACCTACCGAAGTACACTTGCTTTGTATCTCTTGTCAACAGTAAATGATTTCCTACAGAAACGGCTGCCGAAGATTACAGAACTCCGAGCATCAATAGTATTCCAGGTAGACCCTTGGTCTGTGCTCCCTTCAAGGACCCTGCAATGCTACATTGTTAGTGACTTGCAGAATATTAACATTTCAAGACAAATTTTAGCATGGTCCCTCTTACCTCCCCCTTTCACACGAGAGGTAAGAGTGCATAATGATTTGAGTAAGCAGTGGTCTGATTAACTCTTACCTTCTTACCTCCCATGTGAAAAGAGGGGGTAAGAGGGAGCATGTTAAAATTACTCGCATTTCAAAGAAGGTTAAAAGCAGGCAAAGCTAGTGACATACTCCCTCAGGCAAAGCTAGTGACATACTCCCTCCGTCCCAAAATAACTGTCTCAAGCTTGGTACAAATTTGTACTAGAGCTAGTACAAAGTTGAGAGACTTATTTTGAGACGGAAGGAGTACTACTCTCTAGCAGGCAACTTCTATTAACAATATGAATAACTTGAGTAGCAAGTAACACCGTTCGCATAAAAACTAGTCCCTCTGTAACTTAACGTAAGAAGTTTTTTAACACTGTCATAGACTCTAAAAACATCTTATAAAAAGTTAGTACTAAAATTAACAATGTTGTCAGCGATACAGCAACTAAAATGGCAGGGAAATGTTCCATCACAGAATATCCAGAGGGGTAGGAACGGGAGGAGTATGGAAACAGAATGGATTATTCTCTGATTAACTGATAATAGATATGTGCCCTCCCTGTGGTGGCTGTCTCATCCCCTTAGCAGGCTATCTCCAACTTCTGTAAATAATATTCTTTACCTGGAATCTAATCCTAACAAATCCCCAGGAGATAAAGATGTTCAATTGAGATGCCCTGCCTTGGCCTGGTGTATCCCCTGTAGTTGTAGGGCTATAGGCCCATGACAGGCACTCATGAGTTATTTTACGCGCATACCATACAGCATAAGTTCGATGGTCATTATACAGAATAGAATCACATCAGACAGCCAAGGAACAGTTTTTTTTAGTAAATGTACCAGTCCATTGGATCCCTCTCGGGAGCATCATTAGCTGACATCAAATCATATGACTCCAACTCACAAGTTTGGCCACCATGTACCTTGTACATTAGCCAACATCCTGCAAATTGATTTTGCCATACAGCAAATCAATAAAATTCCCCAATCAATCAATCATAAGTAGTTGGAACAATTCAATAGCGTTCTTAAGCACAACATGAAAATTCTGCAGAACATCAGCTCGACAGTTGACCAGACACTACTGTCAAAAACTGGTTGGCTGCATATGACATGAAAATTGTGCTGGCTTTCTGTGGCCGTTGCTTTATAATCTAAAGCGGGGGGAAACCCTGTTTCGAAAAAAAATCACAGGAGTACAAACGAGAAAATATATGCTACTACCTCTGTAACTAAATATAGGATGTTTTTGCAGTTCAATTGAACTGAAATGCAAAAACGTCTTATATGTTAGCTTGAAAAACTATCTTATATTGTGGGACGGGTGGAGTAGTATTTTATAAAGAAAATGAATGATAAGATTGTGAACAAGTTATATTGGTAGCACCAAATTACCTTTGGCTCCATCAGGTTCTTCCCATTTGGACAAGCGAATGCCGTCAAAGGCTGCTGTTGCCTGAAATGATTTCAATATTTTAGGGCAAACCCTGATAAATGGATACATAAAAATGATTAATTTGCAACACATACAATTCCAATTGGGAGCTGCTCACTGCTTGCAAGGACTGAACCTGAACAGAGTCTATTGCCTCTTGGGAATTGATGACCTTTTGTGTAAAAGATACCGCTCTTATAGTTACTTAGTATCTCATCAACTGCATCTAGTGCTACTGGTAATGCTAAGGATGTATGTATTAGATTTCCATCTGTGGCCACGGATGGATCTCTAACAGTGTGTAACTCTGCTTTTAAAGAAATAGCAGAAAGCAACCTTTCAGCAGAGGGAAGTATCTCAAAAATTTGCTGCGATTTTTGATCTAATGCGACTCTCCTGCTTTTGAAGTTGGCATCTTTAAGATTTTGCATCAAGCTCCTCAATGTGACGATAACTTCAATGATTCTTTCATTAGGGATGTTATTATCACAAAAATGAGAAAGAATAGCTGAAAGAGCATCATGTATTTTTGAAACATGAGCATCCACACATCTCCGAATAGGACACGACGAGCAACTGAGTGAGTCTGCTTGGCCCAATTCTGACCTTGCTGCTCTCCATTCCGCAGAACCACTTTGCCTTCCAGGTAGAGATATGCTGTTGTTAACTTCAAGATAGGTAGCTTTACTAAGTTCCTCGGACTCTTTCCTGTCACGGTTTTCTAAGGCTAAGAGTTCATCACTTGACAATCCACTGCGACACTTTCTAGTTATATTCATCAGAATAGCTGAAACTGTATCCTCGGAGGTAATGGTCCGCCTAGAGAGAACCTGCAAATGTAAAGCCGCATGGCACATTAGGTAAAAATGAGAACAATTTCTTCAAAAACAACAAAGATCGTTCCCAACACACACGCGCGCGCGCGCGCCAATACAGCCCCCCTACCCCCAACGCAGCCCCTAACCAAGCAAGAAAATTCTACCTCATGCCACTTTCTGGTGTAGCGTTTTGTTATATCATGTACTCCATCTTTTGAGATACCAATTGCATAATCTAATTTCTTGTTCCACCTAGAAAATCGATACAACACAACATCAATATGAAGTGAAATTAGACAAACTATTAGATGAATTATGTGTCAAAATAATATGCAGAAATCAGTTGAGTAGGATTGTATTTTACCCTTTCTCATACAGCAAGGGATTATCATAGACTCCTTCGCATGGATCTAAGTGAATCCATCTAAACATTCCAGAACTGTGGCATTAATAAAAATGGAAATAAAATACTGCATTTGAAGCAGTGGTGGATAGGTCATACTAACCTCCCATAGAGGTTTGAAAAACATTCTGTCCAAACATGATCAGTGAAATCCAGAATCTGTAAAGTAAAGAATAGGCATGTTCAGTTGTTGACCACAGTAGAATAAAAAATTTAGGGATTCATTTGCTAAAAACAGAATTGTAGCAGAACTTAAATTGCCTTTGTAAAGAAGCATATTTATTGAACTACACTAAGAGCAAAGACCAGTCAAGGCAGCAATATGGCGATTGGACGAGCACTCCAATAAGTGGTTTTTGGAGAAAACAAAGCAACTGAATGATGAAAAAGAATACTCACAAGAAGCAGAGACTGGAACCTTTTCAAGAGATATAATCAGTTACGAATCTAGTCTAGCATTCAGTATTTTTTTTGACCAGGTAGTGTTCAGAACTTCAGTGTCTCATATAATCATAATATTAGCACATGTTATTTCAATGATTAATTGAGTGGGAAATCCAACCAATTGTTTCATACTAACAATTCAGTAACTGAATAATGTTGACATTTGATAATTCTGCATTCAACTAAACCACCGAATATGAATGAATATGCCAGATACGGAAGGCCGTCAAACCATTTGACAAATGTGGAATCACTTACAGTGAAGGAAACCATAATCATTACTGAAGCTAATACGATTATGAGCATTATGAAACTAACCAAACGAGCTTCATATCCAAAAACCCGACAGTAGAATGTGAAGCAATTCGCCCATTCTCCACAGCGTCCTTTCCTAGTTTGTATAAGCTTACAAAAAAGCGACAAATGTTAATTTCCAGCTTGGTTTAAAAAATACACACCCACTACCAGGATCACAGGAGGCTAGGACAGCTTACTCATACCTTATGCGGATCATTGTACCTTGGGAAACGGGTGATGCTCGAACAATGGTTGCACCTAAAAATAGTATATATAGGCAAATGAAGTTGTAAAAGTACTGACAGTACAGCACCAGGTGCGAGGAGATGAAGTATTAAAAGGATAGAAGTACAGTTCTGGTATGTAGGATCTTATAATACTACAGCGCTGTGGGGCCATTCCAGAGCTCTAACTAGCATCTTATCGTGCTCATAAAATATAAAAATACTGATCATGTCAACCTGCAAATGATCCTGCCTAGGATCCTGATCCAGATCCTGACAACCATGGTTATTCAGATAGAGATGACACACAGAAGCGCAAAAAGAATTTGTCTTATGCTGCAGGAACAGTTGCAGGGTACATAATTTCCCGGAATTATACTTGACAGACAATGAACATGAAGGTGATGAGAGCACACCAAAATAAGATAGCATATGTAACCAAGGGGTAACTTGGGTAGGCCTTTAGGTGAGATCTAGCAGAGCACAAGATGCATCTACCCGTGATACGAAATTTCAGATCCAAATTTGGTCCACACATTAGATCCTGCTGCAGACAGGAGCAAATTTAAATCGACAGCTTCCAATTACATTCAAAGCAGAATTTTTCCTTTTCATTTCTGGACGTGTGGGTAAAAAGTTTATCAGAAAATGTGTAGCAAGGTAAATGCATAGCACGTGAATGCTATTAGAGAACTCCAGAATTTTTCATAACTTTTGTTCCTCCAAAATAAGTGGTATCACATCTCACCCAAAAAGATGAACCTAGCCAAATTGCTAGTACATAAATAACCAGGCTTCAAGATGTGGAATTGTCATTTACTTGGATATCAATTTTGCAAGTTGTTGAAGGAAACATGACCGTTCTAAAAATAAATTTGAATTAAGATAGCAGAAGTCCAACTAAATAAAATTCTACTGAATGCTACCTATAGATCTCGACACGGGAGGCACCGAATTCAATTTCTGAGGGAAGTGGGTTTCCCATTCCAACCATAGATGTTTCACGGTCACAGATGTCACAAGCTGGTGCATTAACCCATCTGCAAGGACAAGGATCACTGTTAACCAATATGCAACATAAGCATCATTGTTAACCCATTTGCAAAGATAAGCATCAACGTTAAAAGATGAAGTGTATATGAGTTCTATCTTAAGCTGTTCAACCTGTATGGTGTGTACTGAGTGACGTGGAAGTATAGAAATCGAAACAAAAATACCACTGATAATACCATAATAAGGCTCGATGAAGTTCAAAAAGATAGTGTTTAATCTCTATGTTCCACGGGCTCAAGTGAAGCCATGCAAGTACCACTGGATATTTGTTATGGACATACTAATCACTGAGGCATTTTGCTTTGCTTGACTTCTTTGACAACACTGTTCGATGTTCCAAATAGCATTACTTTTTAGAAACTAAATTCAAGGTTCTTCTATATCTTTCCCTAATAATAATAAAGCACGGATTGACTCTGTCGGGTTCACCGTCATACTATTTTATAAAAAAGACCCTGCTATTTTATGTAATTAACCCGCAGGTTATGTCTAAGTGGTAGAAAAACGTTTCAATTTTTTTGTAATGAGAGAAAAAATGTGCGCCGATGGGGAATCGAACTCAGCACCACGGCCTCAATCATAAGCTCGCAAACCAACTAAGCCAGCTAAGGATCATGCATAGATACATATTCTACGTAATTTAAGCGGGGCATGGATCTGTGTTTGACAGGACTTGGGCCAAAAACACTGCCCCTTTTCGACAGAAAATACGGCCCAAATGACACGCCGTTGGAGGCCTGCCTGTCCGATCGAATTGGGCCTGCTAAATGATCCAAAAAATGATTTGTCCTGTGAAGGAATCGATCATGATCAGCCCCTAACGTCCAAGGGTCACAACCCACTGAGGTAACATATACCCCTAAAAAAACTGAGGTAACATATAACTTCACGAGAAGTTCTGGTTCATTTTGCACTTGAATAGTCCCACCTCGCTTTTTTACATTGAATTTCATCAATTCATACACGTTCCAAGTTGCTCTGATCCACGAGCGGAATCGGGAGTCAACAAACAAAGAATGAGAACAGATCTTTAAAAATCACATGAAGAAATTAAAGGAAATATGATATGATTCCCAGGATTGAGGGCTGCCATGCATTCCTAAAGAAGGAAGCTGCACCCGATTGATTGGGCACTGATCACATGAAATTTTTTAAGGAAATATGAATCGCACTAATCGCATCGGAGGACCTAACTAAAGGAGACAACAATTTGAGGATTAATTAACCCCAACAGTGTGGGGCTGCATAGATTTTTAGCAGCAGCGGGCATGGATTTTAATTGTGCCATTTTTTTTCCTCATTGTATTTGCATATACAATTCTTACTAAACCCGCGCTAATTTTTTCTTCAGTTACAACGGATGACATGTGATGTGTTGCTTGCACTTACTGTCCTTACCAAATTTGAGACAATTTTAATTTCTCTCATTGTAACACACTGGAAGTTATGTTTATACATACAATCCTTACTATATTCACGTTAATTTTTTCTCCCGTTGCAACGCACGGGCATTTTTGCTAGTAATCTAAAATGGCAAAAGCAATGCCATAGAATATATATATGATAGCTGTCACGTGGGTTGGCCACCCACATGCTATCTTGGGCTCCAGTTAAGGGATATATGGATATATTCCTGTTCTTTTAAGTTAGGAATCGTACCATTTAATAAACTAATTATAAAGAAGATATTAGTTTGCTACCTAGGTTTGAGTTGTTGGGCCTCTATATATAAGGATGACCTCTCGAAATGAATTAATCAAGCAAGAAGAGTTACGATCTATCTCACATCTACTTCATACTCGTAATCCCTAATCTAAACCCTCTTATCAGTTAGCTAATGTTAGATGTGTATAGTCCCTTTTCGGTATATCCCCGTTGTATAAGGGGTTTTCTGCACTTTGACACACATGTATATGTATTGGCCTTTGGCCCTCAGTAAAGTCAGTTGCTCATTTATCCAACATGGTATCAGATGCTAGGTTTGCCTCCCTCTCTCGCACGACGCAACTCCGTGCGCTCCCCTCCTAGCCTCCCTCGAATCCTGCCGTTCCAGCCCACTCCGTTGCTGGCTGGCCGGATCAGGCACCTGTCCCTGCCGCCTGCCCGGACCAGGCCCTCCTGCTGCGCCCGGAGCTCCTCTTCTCCGGCCGCGCCGCCCACGCTCCTGGTCCTCCTGGCCGCCGGCGCCCCCGCTGCTGCCCGGCCGCTGCTCCCCGCGGCTGCCTGCTCCAGGCCCTTGCCCGTTCACGCGGGGACTCCGCCCCGGCTCCGGATCGAGCCAGGCCGCCGGGCAAGCCCCGCCCGCTCGATCCCCGCGGTCCCGCTCGCTCGATCCCCGCTCCAAATCAAGCCAGGACGCCGGGCCTCCCCGTCTCGCTCGTTCCCCCTGCTTCGGGCCGAGCGAAGCTCAAGCCGCCCGCCCTCGCGCTTCTGATCGAGCGGGATTCCCTCGCTCGTCCTCCAGCCCGATCCCAATCCGGGCCTCTTCAGAGAGTTGACCAAAAAAAAACAGAGGAGACAACAGAGTCCCCTCATGTCTTCTTCGGGCTATGTTGCTGTTCCACGGTGCTCAGTGATCTTCGATGGCACCAACTATGCTGAGTTTGTGGGATTCATGCGCATCCACATGCGTGGTCTTCTTCTCTGGGGTGTTCTTTCTGGCGAGGTTCCCTGCCCGCCATGCCCCGTTGCGCCTGTGGCTCCAATCCCGCCGGTGCCGCCGGTACTTGCTCCTGAGGCTTCTCAGGCCGACCGGGACGCCGCTAAGGCCCTTGATGATGCGGCAGTTGATGCCTATGATCAGCAGGTATCTGCTTACTCCAATGCTCTTTCGGCGTACCGGGATGATCTGTCTGCTTACACTCAATGGTGCAATGATGATGCTCGTGCTGCTGCTGTTCTTACTGCCAGTGTCCTTCCTCAGTTTGCTTCGGAATTCATGGGACTTGGCACAATTGCAGCGATGTGGTCTTACCTTTGTCAGCGCTATCAGCCCTCTGGTGATGCTCTCTATCTCTCCGTGGTACGTCAGGAGCACGCCCTCCAGCAAGGTGATTCCTCTGTTGATGAGTTCTATTCACAGTGCTCTGCCATCTGGCGTCAGCTTGACTCTCTTCGGACAGTTGTTTGTGGCACCTGTCGTTGCTGTCAGACTACTCGGTCTGATCTGGAGTTTCAGCGGGTCCATGAGTTCTTATCTCGTCTCCGCTCTGAGTTTGAGCCCAGACGTGCACATTTGCTTGCTCGTGGTCGTGTTCCCATCTCGGAGGTACTTGCTGAGCTTCGTGCTGAGGAGACCCGCCTTCGCTCTGCTGGTTTGCTGGTGGTCCCGTCTGTGTTGGCTGCTCGGGCTCCTGTGTCGTCTGCTCGGCTCACCGCTCCACCGCTCCTCCCCACACCTTCAGGGGGGTGAGTCGCCCTGCTTACACTGAGAGGGGCCGGTCGCGCCGTGATACCTTCTGTGGCTACTGCTCTCGGCCCGGTCACCCAGAGTCTGATTGCCGTGAGAAGAAGCGAGACCAGCGGCGCTCCTCTTCCAATGGGACTCTTGGATCTTCCTCGACTCCATCACTCACTGACCAGGACATTGTGAGGCTCAAACGCCTCCTGGCTTCCTCAGGCTCTACGTCGACTGGTTCAGCTGTTGCTGTGACTGCAGCCACCTCTCCACCACCGCAGGCATCTACACAGTCAGGTACATCTTCATGGGTTTTGGATTCTGGAGCCTCCTTCCACATGTCTTCTGATTCTTCTGTGTTGTCTTCTCTCCGACCTCTTGATTCGCCTGTTAATGTTCTTACCGCCGATGGCACACCTCTTCCTGTTGCTAGTCGAGGCGTTCTTTCCACTCCCTCCTTTTCTGTTTCTGGTGTCTCGCATGTTCCTCGTCTTACCATGAATCTGTTTTCCGCTGCTCAACTTACTGATTCTGGTTGTCGTGTCTTCTTGATACCGACTCTTGCTCCATTCAGGATCGACGCACCAAGGCTTTGGTTGGTGCTGGCCCTCGGCGCCGTGAGTCAGAGGGCCTTTGGGAGGTTGACTGGCTTCGTGTTCCTTCCGCTGCCACCACTCTTGCCAGCTCCCATGCTCTTGCTGCCTCTTCGTCTGCGTCCTTCCAGCAGTGGCATCATCGCCTTGGTCACATCTGTGGCTCTCGCTTGTCTTCTTTAGTTCGTCAGGGCCTCTTAGGGTCTGTATCTGGAGATGTCTCCTTACATTGTAATGGTTGCAGACTTGGCAAACAGACTCAGTTACCTTACCCTACTAGTGAGTCTGTATCTCAGCGTCCGTTTGACTTAGTGCATTCTGATGTCTGGGGTCCTGCTCCCTTTGATTCGAAAGGTGGTCATCGCTATTATATCTTGTTTATTGATGATTTCTCTCGCTACACTTGGCTCTACTTCATGAAATCTCGTAGCGAGGTTCTCTCTATATACAAACGTTTTGCTGCCATGGTTCACACCCAGTTTTCCACGCCCATTCGCACTTTTCGTGCTGACTCCGCTGGTGAGTTTATCTCCCAGCTGTTGCGTGGTTTTCTTGCGGAACAGGGTACTCTTGCCCAGTTCTCGTGTCCTGGTGCTCATGCTCAGAATGGCGTTGCTGAACGTAAGCATCGTCATCTACTTGAGACGGCTCGTGCTCTGTTGATTGCCGCTTCTCTTCCACCCCACTTTTGGGCTGAGGCTGTTTCTGCATCCACCTACCTCATCAACATACAGCCATCGACTGCTCTGCAGGGTGGTATCCCTATCGAGTGTCTCACTGGTCGCTCTCCTGACTACTCCGCTCTTCGTATGTTTGGATGTGTGTTATGTCCTTGCCCCGCGAGAACGCACCAAACTGACTGCTCAATCGGTTGAGTGTGTGTTTCTTGGCTACAATGATGAGCATAAGGGCTATCGCTGCTGGGATCCTGTTGGTCGTCGTTTGCGCATCTCGCGTGATGTGACCTTTGACGAGTCTCGCTCTTACTACCCACGTCCTTCTACCTCGAGCTTCTCTGTGGATGATCTTTCCTTCCTTCTTCCTGATACACCCCGCTATGTGCCTCCTCATGTCTTTCCTCCTCCGCCTGCACCTCTCCTTCCTTCTCCTTCACCTCCGACCCCGTCTTCTCCCTCCTCCACCTTCACCCCTCCCCCCTTCTCTCTAGTCTGTCGCCCTCTCTCACCATTTCCTCTCCACTATACTCGACGTCCTCATACTGAGGATATTGCCTCTGACGAGCCTTCCACCTCCTCGGGTGCACCTCCTCTTACATCCCCTCCGGCTCATAACCTCCGTGCTCGGCCTCGCCCTCCGCCTGATCGCTACTCCCCTGATCGGTACGGCCTCTCTGTTTTGACTGAGCCCACTTTCTATCGCACTGCCATGACTCAGCCTGAATGGCAGCTTGCGATGGCCGAGGAGCTTGCTGCCCTTGAGCGCTCTGGCACATGGGATCTCGTTCCCCTCCCTTCCAGTGTCCGTCCCATCACCTGTAAGTGGGTCTACAAGATTAAGACTCGCTCTGATGGTTCTCTTGAGCGCTACAAAGCTCGTCTTGTGGCCCGTGGATTTCAGCAGGAGCAGGGGCGCGATTATGATGAGACTTTCGCTCCTGTGGCCCACATGACCACTGTCCGCACTCTTCTTGCTGTGGCTTCTGTTTGTCAGTGGTCTATCTCCCAACTTGATGTTCAGAACGCTTTTCTCAATGGTGAGTTGCGTGAGGAGGTTTATATGCAGCCACCACCGGGGTACTATGCTCCTGATGGTATGGTCTATAGGCTTCGCCGCTCTCTATGGTCTCAAACAGTCCCCTCGCGCCTGGTTTGAGCGCTTCGCATCTGTGGTGACCGCGGCTGGTTTCTTGCCCAGTGACCATGATCCCGCGCTGTTTGTTCACATGTCTCCTCGTGGTCGGACTCTTCTCCTTCTCTATGTTGATGACATGATCATCACTGGTGACGACACTGATTACATTGCCTTTGTTAAGGCCCGTCTTCACGAGCAGTTCCTCATGACTGATCTTGGTCCTCTTCGCTATTTTCTTGGGATTGAGATCTCCTCCACCTCTGATGGATTCTACATCTCTCAAGAGAAATACATTCAGGATCTTCTTGCTCGCGCTGCTCTCAGTGATGACCGCACTGTTGTGACTCCTATGGAGCTCAACGTTCAGCTTCGTGCCTCTGATGGTGACCCTCTTCCTAATCCCACTCGCTATCGTCACCTCGTTGGTAGCCTTGTCTATCTTGCTGTTACGCGTCCTGACATCTCCTATCCCGTTCACATCCTGAGTCAGTTTGTTTCAGCCCCCACCTCTGTCCACTATAGTCACCTTCTTCGTGTTCTACGATATCTTCGTGGCACGATCTCTCAGCGCCTTTTCTTTCCTCGCTCCAGTTCTCTTGAGCTCCAGGCTTACTCCGATGCTACCTGGGCTAGCGATCCCTCTGATCGACGCTCGCTGTCTGCCTACTGTGTCTTTCTTGGTGGCTCTCTGATTGCCTGGAAGACAAAGAAACAGACTGCAGTTTCTCGCTCGAGTACGGAGGCTGAGTTGCGAGCCATGGCTATGTTGACGGCTGAGGTGATCTGGTTGTGATGGTTACTTGAGGATATTGGTGTGTTGGCTACTACCTCGACTCCCTTACTGTCAGACAGTACTGGTGCTATCAGTATTGCGCGTGACCCGGTGAAGCATGAGCTCACCAAGCACATCGGTGTGGATGCCCACTTTGTGCGTGCTGCTGTGCAGGATCAGACTCTCGCTCTTCACTATGTGCCCTCGGAGTTACAGTTGGCTGACTTCTTCACAAAGGCACAGACTCGAGCGCAGCATACCTTTTTCCTCTCCAAACTCAGTGTTGTTGATCCACCATGAGTTTGAGGGGGGGTGTTAGATGTGTATAGTCCCTTTTCGGTATATCCCCGTTGTATAAGGGGTTTTCTGCACTTTGACACACATGTATATGTACTGGCCTTTGGCCCTCAGTAAAGTCAGTTGCTCATTTATCCAACAGCTAACACCCGGCGATCCTCCCAGCGGTAATTACTCTCATGAAACCATATCAGACACAAGACACTAATCATCTGCAGAAAGAAATAACCAAAAAAAGAGTCATGAGAATGTTTCAATAACCTGAATGATTGCTTAAACCAGAAAAGCAATTGCAACAGAAAGGCATGATCCTCTTCATTTTTCGAAGGACTGAAGATCCCTTCCTACGAAAGAATCTTGTATGAGAATTTCTGACAAGACATCCCTTCAAACATAGAACTTGATATAGCAATCCACACCATTACGACAACAAAAATATCCAGACGCAGTCATGGTGTTAAAATTTATAATAGTAAAATACGACAACTTCCTATGGAGCCAAACTTGTACCAGAAAACATAGTTCTATAGAAATATAGAGAACATCAAGACAAAAAAAAAAGGTAACTAACAGAAACCTTGGCCAGTGAAATCAGCGCCTTCTCCTTAAGTTCATCTACAGGAACCGTTTTCAGAGCTGATTCCTGACGCACCGGATCCTCGTACTACATCCAAAATGAGTGTCAGCAAACAAGAACCAGAAACAACCACAATATTAAGGAATGCTTTGCACATGAAAAGTATTCCAATTACATACCTTCAGAACCTGGCGCATGTATGGCTCAACTCTTTCTCTGAAAACCTCTCCTCCGTCACTTTGTATGCTGTACTGTTGCAGTAGAAGTGCCTCTTCTTCCTCCTAAGAAAAAATCAGTAAGCATAGTTATATATAAGTGCCCTTTGGTTCAAAGGAATGAAAGAACTTCCCAAATTCCTACGGACTGCTTTCCTACACCCAAAATCTATAGAATCATCGCAAAGAGCTACGAAGCACCGATACGTGCAAAACCTGTGTATCCCCGTCCTGTACGTCACCGATGCGGCGATAAGCATGATACCGCAGCGATATGCGTATCCCTGGGGTATCGTGATTTTCGATTTAAGACAAAAGAAAAAAAGTGCCGATACGCCGCCAACACGTCAGCGACACAGGAAGCCCAGTAAAAGCCCACTCCAGCACTCGCAAAGTCATAACCCTAAACAGCCAGCACTCTCTCTCGCAGTTTGTTGTGCAGCAGATTGGATCGAGGATTCAGGTGCGACCGCACGAGTGCGCCGCCGAGTTGCTACCACCGCCGCCACTGCCTGGATTCTGTTGCAGTCATCTGGACTCGCCTCG